GATCTGTTGACGAAGGCGGACAAGCTTTGCGAGAGTTCCTTCAGTGGACGGGACAACTTGCGACAAGCTGTCGTCGCCGCATCGAAGATGCTCAGCAAGGACTTCTACGAGGCAGTGTCCAAGGAAGAACTGGAATCTATCAAGAAGGCCATGGTTAGTGGACGCGGCGGTATCGCGACTCACTCTGGGCACTGGTACAAGTGTGTGAACGGCCATCCAGTAAGTTTCTCCTCTCCGATCTGAAACATCATAATCTAACACAGTGCAGTTCGCCATTGGAGAATGCGGTATGCCCATGCAGCAAGCGCGCTGTCCGGAATGCGGTCAGCCCGTCGGTGGCCAGAACCATACTGCCGTCGCTGGAGTATCACGCGCCAGGGAGATGGAGGATTGAGGAGAGATGGATTGGCGCTTCGGTGATATTGCGAAGCTATGTGCATCGTTCCAGCCTCATCTGAAATGTTCTGTCGGTAGATGAGTGCCGTAGATCTCGATTATCTTCGCCCAAGCTCTTGCGGTGTACATGTATACGCTATCATAATGCATCAGCATTTTCGAGAAATGTACTATCGTTGCAGAAGTCGTTCGTGAATCGCGTTGTGAGTGAAACGATAGTACGTAACGTAATAGGGCGAGATAGCGAGACCCGCGCTTTATCTTTGACCCTGACTACCAACGGTCCTCGTCGGCTTCGACCAGATCCAGTCGTGCGCCGTGGACGAGCACTTGTGAAAGTAATCGCCAGCCGTTATATGACGGTGGAATGACCAAAAGAACATGCGTTCCGTTATAAACGAAATGTGTTATGCAGATCAGCCATGATGGCCAAGTTCACGATGTCTTAACGGCAGATAGGACAACGGCGCTTGGTGTTCTGCTATCTAGGCAGTAAATAATAATAAAGAATATAATAGAACTAACATTATTATCTCCTATAATGTCTACCCTAGTTATACATAGTAAAGCTAATCTAAGAATATAATACTTTATCTCTAAATTTAAGTATAGCCTAAAACACCTAGCTATTTTATACTTCTAACTAGTCTATAAAACGCTGCTTATTTCTATTAAGCTCTTTACTACTATTAAACTTATAAATAAGCTTAGTAAAAGCTTTATATTTTTTTTATATTTATAGAATAGTATTAATATAGTCTATACTTTTATTAAAATTTTATTTATAAAGTTAAAAGGCTAAAAGTACTTATAGTTATCTTTAAGCTACTTCTTTAGCTATTCTTTATTTAGCGTAAATAGTTTAACTTTCTAAAAGTTATATAAAGCTGCGTCTACTTTATCTATTACTATAGTACGCGCTATATTAACTACCTTATTAGTATTAGCCTAAGTAGGCGTTAAATATATCTAGAAAGAAGCTATATCTTTATTCTATAGAGATAGGCGCAAGTCTTAAATAAATATATTTATTTTTATATATTAATAAAAGTCTCTAGCTAAGTAGAAGCTTTAATTTTATTATACTTATTACTAAGCAGCGTTCTACTTATAAGATACTAAAATTTTTAGATCTAGTATATATACTATAGTATATATAGACCTTAATATTAAAATTATAACTATACTAAGTTATTATAACTAGAGCTTCTTAATAAATATTAAATAGGAAAATATTAAGATTAAAATAAGATATAATCTATTAATACAGTAACGTAACAATAATCAAGATTATGTGTGTGTCTAGGCAGTAGTGCCGAATTGCCGGCGACTAATTGCGATGTGCAGTGTCGCTTGTCAGTTTTCAGTTTGGCAATCCTCCCTTGGCATATCGCGACGAACTATGGGATTGGCGAGATTCCATAGATGCCGTACCTGGAAGAGCACCTCAGTGCTACACGATATAGGCGCATTCGTGACGCAGCACCCACTACACACACGACAAAACGAGGCTGCGAAGAACACGATATGCACCTCATCCGTCCCTGCAGCACACGAATTGAGGCCATGTGGGCTGCCCTGGAGACGGCAGCGCGAACCCCTGCCATGCTTAAAAAGTGGAAATTTGACCCTTCCACTAGCGACGTGGTTGACGCTTCTGATTGGCCTGCTCAGAAGCTTCTCCGCGCTTCAAGGAGATGAGACACCTTGCCCTGAGCGCCGCCAACCGCCATCGCACGCCGGCGACTCTATCGCGTGATCACGATCCCGTCGTGTTTGGAGTTGTCATGGCCGTCCAGCGGGCGAGCAAACGGGGTGCTCGCAAAAGAAAAGAACCTGTCAAACTGTCAAACGTCGCAAAATTCTGAAGGGCCCCAACCAAACAGAAACAGCACAGCATAAAGGAGTTACCGCGATCAGCGAATCACTTTCGCTTGCGCTGCCAATATCCCCATTCCAATTACCATTTTGCGTCGCCCGCCTCAGGCCCCGTCACAAGATTGGTGTAGTAATCTTATTTTTTCCCCATCCGTTAGCCGCTTTTCCCACTGGCCCCCGTCCCCCCAAGGGGACAACCACACAGGCGAGCAAACCTATCGTGAAGGGAGCGCGTGAGCCCTGTGCCCATAGTTTCAAATACAGCCGGGGATCCTCCCTTTGCTCATCTCTCGCTCTCACTTTGTTTCCGCAAACCTTTACGCTCATTACACTTTTTTTGCTCGCTCCCTGCAGTTTTTAACTGTCAGTCAGACTGTCTGTTCAACGCGTCGTCATCATCAAGCAGACTTTCTCCACACTCTCTTATTAAACTCAACGTCTGTCGGTCCGTTGCTGTCCAACACGTCATACGAAGCCCTAAACACACTCGCTGTAATTACGATCATTCAACACGAGACAAGACTATCAAGATGAAGTACAACACTATCACGTTGGCGTTGGGTGCGCTTGCTATGGGCGTGACCGCTCAGGGTGTTGCGTAAGTTTGCCCTGTTCTCCACGTCTTTTCTGCCTCACCCGCAAACGCGACGCGACTACCACGCGGCTTACCCGCGATAATCATCATGACTACAATGTAGATCCATGCTAACATGCTGGTGACGTAGGCCCGAAGTCCAGTCGTCCGTCCTCATGGAGCTCGCACAGGCGATCCCTTCCGACCAAGTCGCCTACGCGATCGCCTCGTCGTCTGCGTTCGCCGCTGAGATGGCTTCCTCGCTCGCTGCTGGCAACACACCGGCCTGGTACCAGGCGCTCCCCACCGACGTCCAGAGCCTGCTGCCCGAGATCTACCCGGCCATGGTCACACCAACACCTACTCCCACCCCTACCCCATCATCGTCGTCGTCGAGCGCATACGTCGCGAAGAGCAGCAGTGTTGTTGAGACATCCAGCTCCGCCATGGTTACCCCTTACCCCACTGGAAGCAACAGCACCATGGCCATGCCTACCATGAGCGCCACCGGCAGCGTCACCGTCTCACTAAGCCCCAGCGGCAGTGCTTCGCCCTCCCCAGAATCCCCTCCTTTCGAGGGTGCTGCTTCCAAGATGTCCGTCGGCGCTGGTCTCGGCGCTGTGGTCATGCTTGCCATGCTCGCTTTGTAGACATACCTTGGCGTGTCTATATACTTTGCTACTGTACCTTCGTAGCACTGGACCGCTGAGCACGGGTAGCGGCTGGTTGCTCCTTTCTTCACTCTAACGTTTCTTTACGACGCGATGCTCTTATCCTTTCTTGGGGAAAATGATTCGCAATATACCTTTTTGACTTTTTTGGTGCTTGACGAGGGGAGGAGAGGAATACGCAGGGTGGATTGATGCATCTTTATGCGGTGGCTTCTCCGGCTGGGATTGTCGTTGCTTGCGCTGGTTTGCTGGACCTGGTTTGGTGGTGTATTGAAGGACGTACGTGGATGTGGCCGGATGGATGATGGATGGTGGGTATATAGTAATCCGTAGTAGTAGCTTAATATTTAATCAGTCGACGCAGAAAGATGGGAAAGACCCAGCCAGATATGTGAGCCCGAAGATGAAGAGACGTTCAAGGTGAAACAGTCTAGTTATATAACGTTCTCGCACGTCCATGAGGGGGCTTGTAAGCAACACGCGTCTTCCTCGTGTTGGGCTGAACCTAGACCCACGCCGTTTCCCTACACTGACCCACAGTTGGCACTGACGGAATCGACGTCAGCTTGTTACGAAAATAGAACGGTGGGTTGCAAGTGCGTGAGGGTGGGAGACTGACGTCCGTTGTGGCTGGTTTTTGAGAGCTACACCTGGCTCGTGGCGATATTGGAAGCTGCTGAGTACACATAGCTCTCAACCTGTAGCCCGGCAGCAGAGGCATTCTGATGGATGATCCGCAATCTTTCTTCTTGTTCGATGGTGGTGACGGGGTTCTCGAATCTTGAAACGTGTGTAATCTGCGAGATCTCCGCCTATACCTAGATTGATAGTAATACCAGTCGTACTGGTTGCATCAACCCCGGTACTACAGACAAGAGCAAGATGTACCGCACACTGGACGGGCCTCAACTTACACGAAAGTCAAGACCTCTCTTTGTCTTGATGTTCAAACCAGCACCTACAATCTAATGCCCATTTCTTCTCCATCCTCACTTACCACCAGTCCTTGCTCTTACCCAGCCACTTAATCCCTCACTCCTTCCTTCTGTACCATCCAAATCCGCCTTTACTCCATCGAAGCAAAGTAATTCAGGACGTGTGGCCTAATGGTAAGGCACTTACATCTTAGTCACTCTGACGAATCACCTCTGCGACACGGAGTCTTTGAGCAACCTGGGTTTACCTCGTTGCATGCAACCAAGGACTCTGACACTCCGAGGGAGATTTGTCGGATCGAGACTGTAAGAGATCGTGTGTTCGACTCACACCATGTCTACGATAGCATCTCTTTTCCTTTTGCGTGGCTGTAGACTGTGTAGCCTCTACTTTTGCATAGATTTTGTCTGCTAACGCTAGCGTCTCTTATTGCATAGCCTTAGTACGAGGAATTTAGTTTCCATTTAAGTATAGACTTCTGCGATATGTTTTCTACTACTACACGTATCATTTCGATCGCCAAACCTCCAAAAATCACTACTCAAGGATATGTAGCTTAATGGTAAAGCGCCCACGCCGGACAACAGAATACACTGTGGGCGCCCACGATAGTTTTACCAGATGCTCTTGTCGGAATAGACAAGGGTTGGTAAAGTGGGAGACTGTACGTTCGAGTCGTACCACGTCTTTTTTGTTGTTTAGCTTTAGAGGTAAGTAATAACCACATGTAGAACAGTGAGAGAGACTTTGCAACATCTTTTTGAGGGTGTGTTTGAACTCAATATCTGCTATATCTAGATAGCATGAAGTAAATCGAATTATAGCAACTGTATTCTGGCATCTGAAGTGAAATACTAGAGAAGACCCGATCGCCATTCGTGAGATGGTTGCTCTTCTTCTTTTGAGTTCTCTCACTTGCCTTAAACACCGGTATTCTACCATATTTACCACCTAGATCAGCCACCCTCCAACAATCACCACTCAAGGACATGTAGCTCAACGGTAGAGCGCCCACACCATACGATTCGCCGTCGAAGAGGCTTTAAGTAGCCCCATGCCTCTGGTATGGAGTCTCTTATTAGATCCGGAGTCCCCCGGATCCAATAAGAGGCTCAGGGTGGAGTGGGAGATCGACGTTCGAGTCGTCGCGAGTCCAGCTGTTTCTTTCTTTTTTGTTCTTGATGTGAAGCTGTACTATACAGGACCCGTAGAGTCTTGGAGAGAGGGTAAGTGAAAGTAGGGAGCCACGATTGTGGTGAGAGATATATATTTTAGTTCAAGCTCAAGTATCTACAGATCTACATCTACTAGGGGTAGAAATACCAATCTCCATCTCTTTCTAAACCAGAATGAAACTCGTAATTACCATTAAACAGCCCCCTCCATAGGGGCATATGCAGGTCATAATCATAAAGTCCCTCCCTTCCGCTATCATATTGCAGAACCCTCCAGGAACAACTGATCATGACGCTCATCGAAGGCGTGTAGGTATCATCATCTAAAGCGCGCAGAAAACAGACAACAGAAATCCAGCCGTGATATCATCGTCCGAACAGCAGGTAACAGAAAACAAAAAGGTAACAGACAGGTATCCTCCAGGTATATACGCGCAGATGTCGCAAACAGACCGAGGTCGATTCAGCACGGTGTTTCATCCGAATACCGCGCAACAATGTCGTAATCGAGCAATCAAGGAAATTCGTAACAGCACTTAAAAGTACGTGTCGACGACGTCACGTCCACCGCGAATGGCCCACTCGACAATTTCCATGCCGCTGAGTCCACTCGCATAGTACGTCTTCTTCTGGCCCTGCAGCTTGTTCAGCTTGGCGTAGGCGCCATTAGACAGTGCATCGCCCTCGAAATGCGGGAAGTAATCCCACTTCTTGAAGGCCTTGACGTCGTCTTCGCAGAAGGGCTGCGATGGCTCCGTGGAATTGCGCGGGTCCTTGTTAACCTTGGATAAGCTGTCGATAAGGAGGTTCTCGGCTGCGGCTTGGGTTTGGAAGTCGTATGGGCCCCAGGACCAGGCTACGGAGACGTTGGATTCTTTGCTTAGGTGGAGGACGGCTACGGGCTCGCCGTCGTTCGGTGGCGGGACTGTCTCGTCGGTGCTGTTGGCGATGTAGGAAACGCCGAAGGGGAGTTCGAGCTCTACGGCAGAAGAGTAGTATTGGTGCGTGGTGATGTTGTTAAAGGTGTCGTGCTCCTGCTCTGTCATGTCTACGCCTACGCGCTCGAGGTTCTCGATGCTTGGCGGGAATGCGAAGATGACGGATGAGCACTCTTGCTTCTCCCAGGAGACGTAGCTGCCGTTCTTCATGGGTGTAGTGTAAGACACGATAGGGTGGTCGCCGGACCGGTCGACGCAACGAACTTCCGAAGAAGTGTGAATGGGCGTCTTGCACAGCTGGTTCTTGGCGTACTCGACAAACATCTTGTGGAAGTCCATGTAGTACACGCTGTGTAAGCCGATAAAGGCCGTGAGGATATCCGGGGTGAAGTACTGCAGTATGTACAGCTAATCACACGTTAGCGTCCTGCATGCGCGATCCCTGCAAGAATTTTCTGGAGAATGATGACGTACCGCTGGGACAATGTTGATATCGCCATAACCGTAGAGCGCGACGGGGTTGACGAGCAGAATGGGCAGCGCAGTGAAGTTGTTCTGGCGGAACCATTCTGCGCCGGATACGGTGAATTCGTCTGGTACACCATTCTGTTCCTGCATTAGCCTACCCGGGTTTGTGCAACGGCGCACCACAACGGGTGTCGTACCTTGTAGTTCACGACACTAATCGGTCGGAAGCGCTGCGTCCACAGCTGAATGTACCTCGGAATTTCTGCAGATACCTGCGCGGTGAACTGCGGGGTCAGGGCGGGGTTGACCATGATGTCGCCGTTTGTGTAATTGTAGCGGTACATTTCGCGCGCGCCGGCAAGCGCAAACGGCTCGATCGAGACATTGGTCTGGTTGAGGATGTCGATGGTGTTCGGGTACGACGCATTGGAGAGGAAGGCGGCGCCGAGTGGGTGGAAGATGCCTCTGGAAGGGTGGTCAGCCGCGCCTAATGCGCTTGGAGGCGGACGCTGTGTAACACTTACTGGTCATCATACCAAGCCTGGCATTTACCACCAACTTCATCTTGACGGTCGAACATGACTGCCTTGATGCCCTTCGCTTCTAACCGGCCAGCAGCAGCTAGGCCGGCAGGGCCTGCGCCAATGATGCATACCGGGTGTTCCTCGCAATTGCAACGTTGACCTTTGGGGAGGGCTGTGACGGTGAGCGAGGAAAGCGCGAGCAGCGGTAGCACTAGCGACGACCACATGTTGGCGGATTGAAAGTGAATTGTTTGTAGAGAACAATGGGGACAGCGAATGCTTTAGAGAAGGGATGAGGTACCTACTGCTTATAATAGCAAGCGACGCGATTGCAGGTCCCTGCGTGCCTTTGGGCACTTTTGACTTCGTTTGTACAGGTGAAGGAAGGCATAGCTGGGGCAGGCGCTGCACGGTGCGTTGGCATTAAACGGGAAGGGGCCAGGCTAGCATGCTTTCTCGAAGCCAGATGGGCGATTCGCAAGCCTCATCAGGCCTAAAGGAGCATCAATGAGGTAAGTTTGAACGGCAACGGTCGTGCGGCGGAGCACTGAGCGCCGCTGTGACGTTTGAGACGAGGGTCTGCTACCGGAGCGTTGATTTTTTATTAATCTTTACCCCTGGCATATCTGTAGTCCAGGTAACCGCCAGCGATGAAAGCGCTGCTGCTATTCACAGCTTCAATTGCCGCTGAGTTGTGCCTCCTTGATGCGTCGCATCTTCGCAATCGCTTAAATCATACTGCAGGCGCTAGAAGCGGTGAACAGCTGTCTGCAGACATCATGCTGCAGCTGTATGCAGCCTGTCGCTGGTGCCAGTGGATTGGTGCCGAGGTTTGGCCTTCAGCCCTGTCGCTAGCCTCCAAGCCACCGTTTGAGGCCCAGCCGCCCAAATACTCGGGAGTGGTTCCTGACTCTTGAAAAAGCTCCTATGCCCGACAATATCGCAAATGCGCTCGTTGTATGAGACACCAATTCCGGCATTGCGACATTGCGACAAGGTCATGATTCGGTATCTGACGTCCGCTGCGCCGTATGCCCGTATACATTGCGGCGTGGACGTCATCCCGTGCCGGAACATCGCTGCGTTGGCCTTTCCGCGAGCCTGACAACTCACCGTCCAGCTCTGGGCGGAAACATGTTCAAGCCTCCACTGGATGGAAATTGCAGCTGCGATGGAAGGTTGCGTAGAACAGAGGTAAGTTGGCAGAATGACGACATGCTCGCTGCACAGACCGACCGCCAGCCCAATTTCACGAGGTTGAAGCGACAAACTCAGGGTCCAGCTGGGATAGAAGAAAAGCAAAGTTCTGCCGTCGCACCATGCTCCAACTCTTCCACACTACCAACCTGTCTGTTCATTTCGACGATGTTCAATGCACACGGCATGACGAACCAGCCCCCGATTTGATGATCTCACCGCATGATGACCGCTTCGGCAGTATCTTTCCGTGAAATCTCAATTGCCCGAAATAAAGCAGTCGACGACCTCTGAATAGTTTGCTTCGCTTCGGCACGACTGGGGCAAAGCAATGCGACAGTGAGCGCACCTTCAGTTTCAACCGGTGGCGCAGTCTTCGCGAGACGAAAAAAGAAGTTGCGGCATGGTTGTTGCGCGTCGCGAGAACACGTCGACACCGAACGAATCAGAGGCCAAACATAAAAGAAGCGACAGCCAAGAGAGTGTAGTGATCGTATGATTCGCTATTGTGCTCGACGCCTTTTAGGCGACGAGAAGAAGAAGCTGCTTCTAAGAGCTCGAACTCGCTAAATTGGAAGAAACCGCCCAGCTGTCGTATCCGACGGGTATTGACAAGAGAAAAGAGAAAGGAAAGAGATGTAGTGAGGTGAGTTGAAGAGAAGAGGCTCTTTGTGGGTCTGCTGCCTACAGAAAGCTGAAACATCGCTCGCTGAACGGATGTGCATATTAAACTAAGTAGTGTGAAAAGTACTGCGCCTCGCGATCAGTACATGAAGCTTTTTTGCTGCTCTATATCGATATCGAACCGGCTCTTATCGGTATCGTCGGTATCGCCACTCATCGGCCGTTCCGAGGGCGCACGGAAGTGGACCGGGGTGATGGCGGTCCCGGGCCGCGTCTCATCGTCGCCCGTGAGCTTCCGCGTGTCCATCTCGACTTGGTCAAGGACAGGCGTGATCTTCTCCTTCCTTCTGCTGTTTTGCGAGTTGTTGCCGTACTTGGACCCTTGCTGTCTTGCCCGGTGCGGGAAGAGCAGAGGCTTGAGCGCTGGGATGCACCCGCAGATGACACCGACGTTTGTTTCAATCGCGGTCCAGACCCAGATCTGGTATCCCTCCCACGTGGCATCGTATGTTTCGAAGAGTGTGTAGTGGACCCAGTAGGCGCGGAAGCTGCTTGCAACAACGATGACACCGCCGACCGAGAAGAGAATGACGAGACCGATACGTTGGGTGGTCGGTAACGAGAGGCCGAAGAGTGTGGGAATAGGTAGCGCGTAGATCATGAAGTCGGTCACGACGTTGAGGACACTTTGCACAACCAGTGGTGGTCCTTCGGGGATACAGTCGCGGTGGTCGGCTTGCAGTGTCCAATAACTGGAGATTGG